TTAGTGTGATGTCAGAAAATATGGTAATTATCGAAGAGCGATAAATATGCTTATGTTCCAGAATCTGCCTAAGATATAATCAATAGACCCTCTTCCTAGCCTAAAGCCGCTCTAGTTTAGCCATGTTCGTCTCTCCTGAGTATTGCTCAGTCTAGAACAAAGAACTTTAGATACCATATTATTCACGTTAATTCCCTATGATTATCACAGGAAGACTTGTCTCCTTTCTTGTTTACTGGGAAAATCAATGAATTACACCAGTTCAACGGGAATATCTCTTATTCTCAGACGCTGTCCAATACCTTAGTTAACCCAGACAGCAATTTGTTATCGCCTCCTTAAACAGTCATTCCATCAAGTCCTGTTGTTTCGCCTCTTTTCGAATCATAGACAGTTTTTGTAAACCCACTTACAGACAGAGGACCGGTGTCTACAACCCATTCAGGTAGTTATTAGATGGTGGACAAGTTGAGCGTGACTATAGGCCGGTTAAACTGCTTCTCAAAATGTTCTTTCCCATGTACCAGTCGTCTATCCTGAGAGCTAATTATGGTTTGTTGTTTCACTTAACATTTGTCACCTGTTTCCCTGATAAGTCTACATAATTGTCTAGTGTTACCTATCGCCGATGACTTTCCCACCTATTTCACCTTTGTCACCCGCCATTACTCACGGTAGCTGAGAAGATTTTCGGTCAGTTTGCTTTTTCAGTAGCTTCTACTTCTCTATTGTTTGGATGAATTAACAGAATTCCACTGGCTTTTACTAACTTTTGGTTTTAGGTTATCATCAACCTTTACAGCTGGCTGGACACAGCGCCACACTTTCTCAGTATGAGTCTTCAAGTCAATCTCAGATATGCTTTTAGCTATTTCTTCCCTAAATAAGGACTAGGTGTCCTGATCAAGTTGGGGTGTGACGGCTTCATTGCTGTCCGTTCAATCATAAGCATAAACGTGCACAGACCAGGGCATGATCGGATTCTACGCAGCCGTTCCAGAAAGCAACACAGCCTTTTGCTGACCCTTGCCAACGATAGCTTGTCGTTATGTGGTCTATTCAAGTTCAGCGTTGATTTGGTGATGGAGGTCTCCACGTTAGGCAGTGTCTCTCTTTGTGTTTGAATTTAGTGTCGACCAGGAGCATACGATTATCTGATCATCGTTGTCACTCCGTCGGCAGACCAACATACCTTTCGGACTGACACAACTTCCCTACTTCAGCAATGAAGTTACCTGTTAAAACGAATATATCTGAGCATTTTGCTTTTCACAGCAAAACTACACAGTTTTTGACAAAACTCATCCTTTATTTTTTTTGAACTGCAGTCGGTCGGGACCTATGTGGAGATTGTGGAAAGATATCGACGGGTAACACCGTACTTCCTTCTTCTGACTAGCCCATTCACACTGCACACATACGACTAGCCACTGAGATCAAGTCGAGTAGTAATTTTCCTGACCTAACACCCAGTGCTATCCCTACACCTGTGAATCCTCGGGAACTAGCCGAAGAATCTTCTAATATCTTTTAGGCGAATTTTGCAGATTCAACGCATGGACCAGGTGGGGTTAAGTGAATAATCACGCTCCAATCTTGTATGCGTTTTCTCAAAACAACATAAATCCATGGCTCCAGATACCAGAATTCTCACTAGTGATGCGTGGTGTCCGATTTGACAGAGGGTCCTGACGTTAAATGCCCCAATATGAAGATGGTGGGTGGGCTCTCGGAAACTATCGGTAGTGTTTTTCCTGCTCCCGACTTTGCCCGCAGACCACAAACATAGTGCGAACACCCTACATTATGACAGTAACTGCTTTTAGTCTAATCACCACCCTAACAACCTTACTGACATGGTAAGACCTGCAAGAACATTAAAATCCAGCCAGTGTGGCTTGTTGGGTCATTTGAACACCGATCACCACGTTAAGACACCAGTTATCGGTCAGCATGATAAAATTAATGGTTAGGAATTCAGATGATTTCATGTGGAGGTAGGAAAAGACATCACAGCGGAAAAACCATTAATTTAAAATATTTTACTGGTCATAAAACAGTGTTATTCTGTCTGTCGACTTCTGTTTTCATGTGTTTATTATGATTATGTATATCACACGAAACATACATACACAGTGTTCAAGTTTTTCTCAAAGATTCTAGTCACATGTCAGTCTGAATATCTTCATAAAATCAGATTAGATGAATATGTGACGACTTGAACTAGCCTATTTTTATGAGATCTAATTCATTGGATATTCACAAAAGCATTTTGCATCGTAGAATGTAAATATTCAAATTAATTTGTATATAACTACTTAAATACTAATAAGTAGTTGTATGCAAATCTAATAAAGTCTTCCTCTGACGGTGGTAAAATTTGTAGCATAAAAATATATCAATACCAATGCAGACTGCATCACGCACTGACAGTTTTTACTCGTTTCTGAGTGAAATATTGGTCTTCAAGCTATTAAGTTGTCAGTTGCGGTGGTGTGGAACGGCTAGCCCTACATCCAACCTCCCCTTTTTACCAGGCTTGAACAGATGTTTCCGCCTTTTTCGGGACTTCTCAATCATGTGCCCCGACCAGCCCATAATGAATCGTGCCTAGGATTATCAGTTAACTGGGCGAGCCCTTTGGCCATTCATTAACCAGTCGAATTCGAATTCCTATCAATTCGTACGAAATAGAACCACCGCTATCGGTGAATACCTATCCTCACACCCAACGTAGTGGACCACCTGAACGGTGATAACATTTTCAACGCTATCATGATTAGTGTCGTTAAATATGGTGACGAGATATCTCTGATCAAATATCAGAGAACAGTAAACAATTTTCATCCTGAACCTTAGCTAGTAATCTTTCCCATCCTCTCATATACTAACACAGATTTCACTATAAACAGATATCAGTAAAAAAAACCCACTGGAAACCGAAAACAAAAACCTAATTTGAAATTTCTGAGGAATGCTCGCTTTCAAGTCTGCAAGGAATCTATTCAATGGCAAATAAGTAGGTTTCTATGAATAAACAGATTGGTACCACTCTAAAATGATGAGTATTTAGTGAGGTGGTGTTTTCTTACCTCTTCCGTTATCCCATATCATCTAACTACCTTTGCAACCAACTTTTTCAAATTTGCTTACTATAATTCCTTAGGATTACACTTCATAACAAGTGGAACAGTGGCGAGTACTACTGATAATTATTAGCAGTAGTATATGAAGAGACGTCTATCGGCATAAAAACATCAAATAACAGGGAGATACATTTGATTTCAGAGAAGGTAAATCATACAGCGTTGTGGAGATACATGAGAGTAGTGCAAGGAACATGAAGTCGAGAAGTACCGCAACACGAAGATCTGTGCAAATGGCTTGTGAAGATAAGGCATACGTAATTTGGTTAAATAGGGATACCAGTTTTCAAATAAGCATTCCTTTCACCAAGTCATCGTCTTCTACCATTTCAAAACTTATGTGCCTATCAATAGTTTTTGATACATCTTCGCAAGAAAGCCCTAAATCCAAGTTTCGTGCTTGTTGACATTTGTTAGCAAGGCTTATATGCAACTCTCAGGGAAGTGATATATTTGAAATCATATAATTTAGGAAACAAATTTGCTAGGAAGTGGTTATTTATACTGGAAATCAACATGTTAAACTATAGTTCCACCGAGTAGAAAATATTTGGTATCTCCAATTTAAATTGATGTTGCTGTGTGGATATCATAAATTTTATTGAACAATTCTATACTTCATATGGACTGATCGAAGTAAGTTGTTTTTTCATTAACACCTTCGAAATTTCAGTAGCCGTGGTATTGTTTTTATAGATTGGGGTTAAACTAGCCTCACGCCTAACCCTTCCTCTTTATAGTCAGCTAGTAAACTATGGAAGGTTTAGGAAGTCGTCCACTGAGATTCGAAACCTGACCACTTTTCGCAGTTAGAGAGCATTCTAGTGTTGGGCGACTGACACACTCTTCGTGTCTTACATCTTCAATGGATACGTTTCACAGGCAATAAAAAGACAGGGCGTGAAATGCTGCGCTTTGATCGATAACCGGATATACTATACCACGACCGATAGCTGCTACCTTGACGTGGTGGTCGCCGGGCTTGCACATCGCGACGACCCAACAAGCTGCACTGCCTGGAACCAATGTTCCTGCAGGTCCTACCATGCCAGGAAGGTTGTTAGTTAGGATAGCGATTAGACTAAAAGCAGTTACCGGAATTGTGTGAGAATCTTTCTTACACTGTGCTAGGGGTCTGAGGGCGAAGTCGTAAGCTGGGGAACAGAAGTGTAACAGCAGTGAGGTGTTTCCCTCAGATGACCAGCATGCCAGGCAGTTATGCTGTCTCTCCACTCCGGAGAGAAGGGGTTAGAAAATGTCGACCTCAAAAATTGTACATCCCGACTTACCCCACCTACGGTGGTCCGTAACCGGCGGTAAGTTTACTAATACGGAACCAATCCCAGAAAACAGTTCACACGGGCCGTGTGTGACTGGCCGGTCTCAAGCAGTTGTTCCCTGGGCTCTGCGGTACCCGAAGAATTAATCAACTTTCACGGTGTGGGAAGCGGGGAAGTAACAACCTCCCACACACACTTCCAAAAGCACACGAAGCCTTCCTGAGCATCATTCTCTTTCATATACTATATCTACGCTGATAAACAGGCTGGAGTCAATGGAGTAGGACATCCACTGGCTGTCAAGTAAGTGTTTAGACCAATGAGTCATCTACTAACCACAGAATTAGTAAGCGAGAATAGTTGTATTTTGCATTCAGTTGATGTGTCTGGTTGCCTTCAATGACATTATGTCTACATAGTAACCTACTCAGTCACATAGAAAAAAGTAATCACGAACCACATAACTCATAGACAGTCTATTTGAGTTACGGAAAAGATGTACAAAAAATAATTTGGAATAATTTAGATACAAAAAAGCCCCCACTAAATTATGCACTTCTTAGAGCTTAGAATGTTAAGGAGTTGAAGATACAACTTGATCTTCTTTTACTCCTGATTCACTTGATTTTTTTACTTGATTTGTAGACATTTGACTGATAAGATCCATAATCAGATTGCCTTGATCACCAGTGAAATAGATTTTTGAATTTTGTGCTAATGCTTGATATTTAGCTAATTCTAAGTATTCGGGAGTTAGCTTTAACCGACTAGCTTCAGCTTCTTTTACAGCTCGATAGTGTTCAGCATCAGCAATTGATTTGGATCTAGCAAGTTGGGTAGCATCAGCTATTTCACTGATTTTACGCTCTTGTTCTTGTGCAGCAACTTTAGCTTTCCATTCTATTGCAGATACTTGAGAGATTTTCTCTGCTTCTGTTTACAGAAAAAAAAACAGAATAAATATACGGGGAAGAAAGTTGTATGTATTATGTTGGATATTAATACAAAACAAAACTAAAGACTGGCTATACAGACACACACATACCCACACACCAACTTCTATGTGCAGTCCAAGTTGCCATACCTCATACAGATGGAGAACTGTTGTAACAACAGAAGACAAGGGCCAGGCAACAGGTCGTTTATTAAGGAAATCAACTCGTGTTTATATATTTTCATATACATTATTATAGATTATTGTAAGCAAACAAACACAATCTTCTGATTGGTTGTTTCTCACAGAAAGTTAACCTTGCATCTCCTTCTGGCTGTTTCTTGAATGTCAGATCATCTATGTGTTGACTGTATCCGCCTACGCAAAGTGTGCTGTGGTTGGTCGCTGAATCAGTCTTTGTTCATATTTCCTCACGACCAATATTTAGGACAAACATTGACGTAAACAATTGTCTACCACTTTTGGCTAGCAGCCACCTCTCACCACACTTAATAGCGAACGGGAACATGTTATGGAAAGACAGAGCACAGGGAGAATACTGATAATATGATGGGTCTAGGGCTTCCATAAACAATGAATGTATCTAAGTGATTTACAGATAACGGATGAGATGAGATTAACTACAGGGAGGCTTAGCTAAATGCCTATAACAAACCGAGCAACAGCACTAAAATGGTACAACAAAAAACCTAAATGATGAAATGAAACAGATCGAAGCTTTTCACCTTTTTTATAGGACAAAGGTGAAAAGCAAAATAAAAAATAATGGTGAAACTAATAATAATGATAACATAAATAAGAGAGAATATAACGCGTCTACTGTTGTGCCATATAAGGAGGGGACATCTGAAACCCTAAGTAGGATTCACAATAAAGCAGGAATTAGGATGGCATTCAAACCTACAAACTCACTCACAGACACGATATATAACCTAAAGGACCCGGTGAACCCAATGAGACAAAATAATATAACTTACAAAATACCTTGCAATGACTGTGAGTTAAATCAACTATATCAGTCAAACTGGTAGTCAGTTTATTGGAACATAAGGATTTAGTTAAGATTAGATTGATGGATTCAGTGAAGACAAGTAATTTAGAAAAACGCTCAGCAATCGCATTGAATGCATTAACACACAACTACACAATAGGGTGGGTGGTACAGATTTAAAATTCTAAAAAGTAATATAGGTATGTGGAGAAAGAGATAGGTTGATTACTGAATCTTTGTTCATTGAGTCTACACACACCCAACACATGCACCAGAAGTGACTCGACGCAAATACCAGCGATATGAAAGATATTATTACCACCAGTCAAATCAGAGGAGGATAATAAATAATGTTAAAATGTATTCCATCAATTCACATTATAATAATCTAACAAGTTATGACAACACTCGTCTTATTGTATTTTATTGATAACACTAATATTATTTCCGAATGTACATTATCCTATATTGATTTTAATCAAATGTCTAATAAATTTTTACTCACGTATATAAACGAAGTTAGAAAGTTGTGTGAGTGCCTTAATGTGATTATGATGAGCAATAAATTGTGCTCGAACCGTTTTCATCAGTAAATATTACTGTATAACACACTGTGTGATAGAGTAACTAACTAACTTATTAACTAACCGATTATTGCTCGACGACGTTCAGTTTCTGCTTGTCGTTCAATCACTTTTTGATGTTGTTCAGCTATTAGCAATTTTGTTTTTTCAGCTTCCATAGCTTCATAATCACGTCTTATAGCTTCAGGGATTTTAGGCTTTGTAACACGTACAGCTTGGATGTATAAACCAGGAGCCATTGTAGTTAAATCTGCTTGTAATGTCCGTTTCAAATATTCATCGATTTGATCTGTTAAAGGCAGAAAGTAAAACAAGTACAAATACATCATATACACACACATACACATGAAATTTGGCGGTCACAATTTAAGCAAACATTAAGTTACGCAAGAAGCAACAATTAACAATACACTAGTGAGCTAAACAGCTAGTAATAATATTTCATATGCAATTTTGATATGAATGCAAATAAAAACAAAACACCAGGAGTCTTTAGAAGATGTGTACACGGATCGATTGACTCATTGATGGGTTATGCGCTTGTAACTGTGTTCATCAAAAAGTTAAACAGAGTTAAACTGTGGTGAGAGCTGGCTGTTAGCCAAAATTGGTGGACAGTAATTTACGTCAATGTTTATGTCCCTAATATTGGTCGTGAGAAAAATGACAACAAAGGTGTTGCGTAGGCGGATACAGTTAACATATAGATGACCTGACATTCAAGAAGCAGTCACAAAGAGATGCAAGGTTAACTTTCTTTGAGACTGTGTTTTTCTGCTAACAATAATCTATAATATGTACATGAAAATCAATATATATATGTGTTGATTTCCTTAATAAACGATCTGTTGCCTGGCTCTTGTCTTCTGTTGTTACAAAACTACATAAAACATCAAAAAACAACAGAATACCGGTTGATTGCGTAACAGAAAGCTGATATTTCAGTGTATTGAGCAGGAATTCTTTTAGGATAGTGCTTATATCGTATCACATATGGACTTGAGTAAACCCATGACAAAAAAGATCAACCTAATCACACCAATGAGGTCACACACATTGGATGGATGTTGATGATGTCATCCAGTTGATATGTATATGTGCCAGGACTCAAACCCAAGACGCACTGGATATAAAACGATTCTTTAGGCCACATCTACAATACAATGTTCCAGATAACTTCGCTACATATATTGAGTGAAGACCGGTGAAACCATTATCACACACTCTCTCAAGAAGCATTACAACTCGTGAACGAAAACTGTTAACGCGTCAAAGCCTGTCCCGACGACCTGTATATTCACATCCCAAAGTAATGTATAGCCTTAGATACTCCATCAAGTCTAGCCAATTATAACAATCTTTCTTTCCGTTCCCAACCTCCATTCAACGACACAGAACACACATAAAGACATCAGGTATGCGTTAGAACAATTACTCTGTTGTACCCTCTCGACATGTTGCTTTAATTGTGAAGCTTTCGTCGTCCTCCTAGACAACATCTTCAGAGGAGCAGGTTTAGGCACAAAATGAAGTTATTCGAATTCTCCACGAGTGATGGTATAACTGTATCTCCTGGCAACCATTATCGTGACTGGTTGCTTGTTGATTGACGGTCTCTATTGGTCATTTTTATTATATTGACTTGGAATTCAAATTTTCTTATCATGTGATTCACTTTTCTATTAGCTGATAAATTCGGTCTATAGTAATGTGTTTGTTAATTGCTGATTAATCCGCTTTAATACCAGGCTTCTAGGAATTCCTTGGCACTTTTGGTGTTTCCTCTATTTAAAATTTCTGCATTATCCTAATCAAATTGGTGTCCGTAATTATTCATATGCATTGATATGAAGGATTTATATTGTTTTCAACCATTGGTTTGTAGGGATTTTGTTTGATTGGTTGAAGGATTTCATCATAAGGTGACATCAGTTGGAGAACCATTTCAAAATCTGGGAGTAGTAGATGGCTGTTTCCTCCTAGTTCGGGACTCTTCGGTAGTACACACCAACCGGGGATCGAACCCAGGACCTTCTGTTGCAAGGAGGCTAGGGCGCTCGTAGACCCATAAGCCATTAAGTCATGATGAAATCCTCCAAACAATCAAACAAAATCCCTACAAAACCAATGCTTGAAAATTAATCTGATGCACACTAGCAACTGGTCCTATTCAGGCAGTTATCTGGAGTTCTGTTGGGAAGCCGTGACCAGTGGGGTACAGCAGGCTGAAGGTGAGGCATTGCGACGTGGTCGCGTTATGTCATGAATTGGCACAAGTTAGAATTCATGGGCTGGCCACTGGATCGAACCCCAGTGGCCTAATAATCTACGAGCTCGCCTTGTAACCGGAAGGTCCTGGGTTCGAACCCTGGTGGCTGGTGTGTACCGCGGAAGAGTCCCGAAATAGGACGAAAAAGCTGTCCAGTACTCCCAGATTTTCTAACTGATGTCAACTCATGATGAAATCCCCCAACAAATAAATTTATATTGCATAAAATAGAATACTTACCAAACAGTTCAATGTATACCTCTTGTAATGTATGACTACTACAAAATTGATTCAATTCATGATGTATTTTGTTATAAATTAATGTTTTATCATAATCGGCTGTATAATTCTTGACAATATCATGCACTATTAGGAAAAAATAAAAACAAAAACACAAAGGATATGAAACAATTAAAACAGCTAGAAGGCATCTGTCTCCACCAGCTCAGTGGTAGAATGCTTTAGTGTGTACCAGGTTCAGTTTGCAATTTGATGGTGATCACAAACATCGTTCTCAAAAAATTGACGTGAGTAAACTGATAGTATCTGCTATCTGTGAGAAGTATCAAACTAATCTAGAGTCACGACTAGCTAGTAACCCCTCAAATAGTGTACATTAACATTGGCTGCATCTGCAGGATTTTATAAAACTGGCAAATAAAGCCATCTGCAGCTTACATGATTGTTCTCTGCAACTTATGGAGGACCATCAGTTTATTCCAGCTGATATTAAGTATAAGAACATGAGAAAGGCTGTCCTGCGTTATACCAAACAGTGCTTACATAAGGACAGTGAAGCCTAGAGGTCAGAATGTGTGTATGATATGGAATCAGCAGCTGCATCCAGCAACAGTTCGAAGGTAGTATAGATCATCCAAGCCACTGGCAGCAAGAAGCATGTTGTCAACGAGACGACCTGCAAGGCGGATGGTACGCCAATTAACAACTTGAAAAGGTGCCCAGAACGCTGTGCAGAACATGTCAAGAAGCTTTTTGCCGGTCGACAGCGCCAGCATCCAATATGATCCAGTAGAGAGCTTGGCAACAAACGACCCACCAAAATGAAGCGGTGATCCGAAACGAATCCCAAGTACTGAAATGTTACAAGGCACCAGATCTACATAATCTGCCCTCAGCTACTTTTAGATTTGATAACGAGACTCTAGTTAGGGAAATAACTGGATTTTTCAAGGAAGTATAGGAGAATATGAGGGTATTCCAACAACGAGAAATGAAGCCATCATCGTGTCCAATATTAAAATGGGTATTAGTTTGCCACCAGTGACGCGTAAAATAATGGCTGCTGTCTTGCTCCGCAAGCTGTGTAAAACACGTGAAGTCAACACACAAAGGGTAGGTTGAGTTTCGTTTAAGTTGTAGATGCATTGATCATGTGTTCATCGCTCGTGAGTAACTAGAACACTGTCGCTCGCATTGTAGGCCAACCATCGTTATGTTTCTTGATGTTACAGCAGTCTTCAGTTGGATGAACAGAACTGTCTGTTGGAGAGGAGTATTAATGAGAAGTTTGGTAACACCTTGAAGGCTCTATGCAGAAACACTTCAGGAACAGTGAAGGCATACAATCAACTACCACCAGTGTTCTCAACTAACAGTAGGGTCAGGCAGGGTTGCCCAATATCACTTCTTATTTGACTTTGTCATCAATGACAATCTGGAAACAGCTCTGAAGGATTTGAGCGGTGTATATCTATTTCCATGTAGAAAGACTTTTCAACCTCGAGTATGCAGATGATATCGTCTTACAGTGCGTCGAAATGCAAGTTTCCCGAATAGCAAATAATCAGTTGACAGCCAACGTCTGTAAATTGGGTATGTACTTTGCGCCAACTAACGTCAAAGTACTGTTGTACGATTGGCAGGAGCCTGTACCTACATTCGCCCTTCGAGGTGAACCATTTGAATTTGTCGACAAGTTCGTGTATCGAAGTAATTGTGTGAGTGATGGATAAGATCTTTAACCATATATTGGGAGCCAGGGCGACATATGCCAACTTAGGCCACTACTGGAGCATTCACGACGTCAGTCCAGCTGTCAGAGGGGGGTACAATGCCACGGTGCTCTCAGTCTTACTTCTGGCTTTTGCGAGCCCAGAATGTGCAGAGACTAATCGCCTTTGATGACCACTTCCTCCGTAGAACTGCTTGCATCCGGTGACATAATCGTGTAATTCTGAGGTTAGACAGAGTGTGTTTAGACACGGTGAAGACCGTCTTCCAACAACAGTTGTCATCTTAGAACACCAGTTCTCATGACTTGAACGTGTGCTAAGAATGTCATCCCGGAGGCTCCTGAACCGTTCGCTGCTTGCTGAGACTGGGAACTATTCAATACAGTACTATACTTCAATGCGCTGTACATCAAATGTCTTTCTACTTTCTGTCTTCAAATGTGGAGAAACAGTTGGGAAAACCCAAATGAAATGGAACCTTCGAACTTTGCGTAGATTATCAACTGATCTGTGAGCGAACTTTCTATGCAAAAAAGTCACCATTTGAATTTCTGACTCAAAAGTGTAGACAAATAAACTTCATTCTGTCATGCTGTGCAAAAAGTGATGTGAAAATGTCCAATATTAACCAAGACATTTTTTTTTTATTTTTGATTTACAGCTTGATTCCACACTGTATTTTTGTTACAAGTATGTAATTTTCAGCATGGATATCGGTAGCCCAAATTTTGCAGGCCGACCATAGATATCAGGTGTGCGTCGGTGCGGGCTCGAACCCCGGACCATGTGCATGGTCGGCGAGAGTCCTAACCACTGTGCCACCGACGCACATTAGAACGCTAGTGTCCATTTAGGAGAGTTTAATTCACCACATTACACAAGTGGTTGAAACAAACATTGTAATAATGGTAGTTGAGAGCTTTGACAAAACATATATATTTATTCCTTTTCAACTGAATTCTGAATATGACTATTTACATTAAATTATCCGCCGTGTCAAAAGACCTTAGAAGACTTATCTCATAGTGTACAAGGTCAGAGTTTTGAAAGTGAAAACAAACAAGCTGACAAAAAAGGCAGCGAAGACACAACATACGGTGAACATAGAGAAGATGGAGGCGATGAAGACACCAAACCAACAGCGACATGCATCAATCACCGTCAATGCGAGAGAGATCTAAAGGAGGGAATCTCATCACTTAACTGAATAGCGTTGTCTCTCCAGGTGGCACAGATGACAATGTCAAAGCCAGGTACGATGAGAATGGGAAAGTAAGAAATGTGTCCAACAAGCTGAAAACTTTCAACAACAACAACAACAACCATGTTCGCTTGATGCTGAAGATAAGATGTCCAGGGAGGATAATCAGCAAGGAACTCTGGCAGTGAACCAGTCAACGACCGAATCTCCAACAAATACGCAGAAGGAAAAGGAGATGGATTGGATATAAGCCGAGGTGACATTATGGTAACATCACACTCCAGACCTTTGAATAGTATTCGAATAGGTAGTGACAGATCAGTCGTCCGATGGTGACATGGAGGAAAGCATATGAAGAAGAAATGAAAGCTTGTGGGCAGTCATGGAGACAGATGAAAATAATAATATTATTATTTTAAAGGCAGAAAAAACTTGGTACAATATGGCACCAAGAAGGATGCGCCACACAATAATAATAAAACAACACAGATCAAAAGAAAAAACATAAGTAGAGAACGGATAAAGAACTTCATCTGGAAGGAAGACAGTCATGCTTAACAAGTTCAAACAGTATTCGTTAACTAACATCAGGAAGGGAAGAAAGAAGGAAATCGCAACATGTTCGCCATTGATCACGATTCTTGGCCATATCCGATAACGTTTCGAGCTATCTCACGGATCTCAACCAGGGAGTCGTGACACACCAACCGATGCTAATCTAGCACAAAAATCCTTCATCTCACGACGCCACGTCAGAGACTGACCACCCCTCCGCCTTTTCCATCCCGTCCCAGGGCTAGAGAACAGAGACCTGTACGGAAGCCTCTGGGATGACATTCGCTGCACATGTCCAAGCCACCGGAGCCGGTGTCTTCAGATGACCACACTCAATGAATGGTGATCTCCACTGTGTTCGAACACACGCCGCCGAACCTCAGAATTAATCACGCGATGATGCCATCGAACACAGGCAATCCTGTGGAGAAAGCGATGATCGAACACGCAGAATCGCCGCACACCCTCAGCCTACTCGGAGAGGCCAGGTTTCACATGCGTAGAGCAGGGCAGCCCGGACCAAAGCATTCTATACCCGACCTTTGACAGCCAGGCTAACGTCGCAACGGCACCATAGGTGGCTCAAGTTGATGTATGCCACCCTAGCCTTCATTATACGGTCGGAAATCTCATCCGTCACCCCTCCGCCAGCACTCACACAACTACTCAGATACACAAACTTATCAACAACTTCAAGCGGTTCACCCGATTGAAAATAATAGCAGACAAGCGAGTAAAATGCAGATGTGCCGCTAAAGCCCTACAATCCCAATCAGAACACAAAGAACTACTGATAGCAATGCTTATAATGAATTTCTGTACCATTTATCTTTATTCATTGCAGTATCATCATTACATTTCTATTCCCTTCTTTAATGGCTTGCTTTAAGAGAAGTAACAAACTCAAGTTCATCGAAGCCTAGTCGAGACATAACTTAAAAATAATAATAATAACGTTTTAATATAACTTATACGTACGTATATGACAAAAAAAAAAGAAGCATGCATTCTCAAACTCACCACTGTCAGCTGCCAAAAAGTTGACCACTTCAACACGATCAAAATAAATAACAACCCCACCACTGAAGATTTTTAAAGAAGAAGTAAAATAATGAATTAAAATTCACATAACTTGATTGAAATGCATACGAAAACTATAAAAACAAAAAGTGGTATTCAATATGAAGGTAGAACTAGAATCTGAATACACTCGCGCCAGGTGAACACTAAATCACTGTGTCATTGATTTGATGAATACAACTTGTGCACTGTGGTAGAGTATAATTTCATTGTGCACAGATGATGAAGTCTCACAGTGTTATATAGTAAGTAATGTTTACTGATGGCGTTTTGAGCAGACAGACTGAGTTCAGTGTCTAACAAACCGAGCAACAGCACTAAGTAGTTCAACAAAAAAACATAAATGATGAAATGAAACAGAGAGAAGAGGAGCTGGTGTTGAATAACTATCCAATAAAAAACTCATTAGGAATATCAAAAAAGGTCAAAAGCCAAAAAAATGTACAATTAATATTGATTGTGAAAACAAAACACGTAGTTCAGCGAAGAGTCTCTTTTCGGCGAATTCATTTTCTCAGCTGTACGATCGCAAATATATATATATGTTATTTTGTATGTATATGTACATTAAGTTTGTCAAACAAAAATACAATTGGTTATGGTTACTTTAACTTAAAAGGTGAAGATTGGTATTTGGAGTTACGTAATACAAAATCAGTCAATAATGAAAATAGGGTAGTAACAAAGGTGTAGAGTTGTCACAAACAGTTGTTAAAAAGGAGTTATGTAATAATATGAATAGTTTGATGAGTGAGTTTTATTCAGGAACAAAGTAGATGATACGGAATTAAGTAAGGGTTCTAAATGAAGACAAGAATTATAAGCAATTAAAGAACGGGCAAACAAATAAAATTAAGTCATCAAAATCAACTAAGTGGCACAGTGGTTATGACTCTCGCCGACCATGCACATAGTCCGGGGTTCGACCCCACGCCGACGCACACCCGATATCTATGGTCGGCCTGCAAAATTTGGGCGAATTTTGGGCTACTGATATCCACGCTGAAAATTCCACACTTGTACCAAAAATACGGTGTGGAATCAAGCTGTAATCAAGAATAAAATAAAAAATAGAAGTGGTTGAGTAATCCTCTTTTGTATGCACAACTCCAGTTTTTCTATGTGAATGGCTAGAGCTTCAGCGATACAAACAAGACGAAACTGTATTGCCTTTGGTAAGTTAGTGATAACATGAAGAATATAAGGCATTTACAGTCCTACCATATAAGGAGAAGACATTCTGAGGCCCTACGTAGGATTCGCAATAAGGCAGGAATAAGGGTGATATTCACACCTACAAACTCACTCAGACAGGGACAAGCTCTGTAGGTTAAAGGACCTGGTGGACCCAATTAAACAAAATAATATAATTTACAGAATAAGTTGCAATGGCTGTGGGTTAAGTCAACTACATAGGTCAAACTAGTAGTAGTTGGGAGTAGTCAGATTGTCAGAACATAAGAATTTAGCTAAGGTTAGAATAATTGACTCCACAAAGATAAGTAGTTTAGGAAAAAACTCAGCTATAGCCCTGCATGCATTAATAAACAGCCACACAACAGAGTGCGACAGAATTCTAAAAGGTAATATAGGTAGGTGGATAGCGAGAGAGATGGATTACTCAATCTTTGTTCATCGAGTCTACACCCAACACATACAAAAGGAATGACTCATCACTCATACCAGAAATATGGAAAACGTAATTAAAGATGAACTTAGGACTGTATATGATACCCTAATCGCAAATAGCTATCTACAAAACTTCATCAAGAAGCACTTGACCAAGAAGGGACAATTTTTCTATCTGTAAATAAGATGCCTTTATACATATAACTGAACTTCAAGAGTGATGCATCTAGTGAAATAATTGCTGGAAAGTTAGGAAAATTCATTCAAAGAACTTTTAATGCTGGTAAACTACGAGTCATGTTTTCTACGCGACCGGTTGTGATTCCTCAACTGAAAGATGAAGTACCTAAACTAGCTACTTCTAATTGTATCTACCGATTCAACTGCGCTTGAGGTGGAGCAAGTTATGTTGGCCGTTGCTCCAGTGTGGCTAGATAAAGGTGTAGCAAAAGTCATCAAGAGTTCGATGTTAGACCACCAGCTTCACATCAGCCACAAAGTCATCATTGAAGAATCATTTTCTATCATCTAGTGGGTACCAAATAAATCGCCAGGTAACCGGTACTCCAAATATCAGAGGCTATTGCAATTCGCCTAAAACAACCGGTGCATTGTGGTATAGAAGAAACAAGTTCAAACACTATTACTGCCCTGGCCTGCTGTAGAGCTTGCAAATTCATAAATACCTAATTATATCAGCCTTTTTGATATGGCCCTCCATCATGTACATATAAATTCCTCTACCCTTTGTCATTACACTTGCATTAACTCGCCTTTTATTTTCTTACCCAAAAGCAGTTGTTAAACTTACACACTGACACACTTACAACGCTCATTAAATTCAACCCCAAAACCGCTTTTTCTACCCCCGACCTTGACTTGATCATTCATCTATTTGAAGTTTATAATCAATATGAATAAAAGTCAGTCTCAATGAAGAATATTCTTTTCAATAATTTCTCTTCAGGTTCTTACAATTATAAATTATAGTATTTAGAGAGAACAATTGTGGTTTCAATAAATTCTTCTTCAGGCTCTACAATTATAAATCCATTAATTTAAGCATACAATAGCCAGTCAGTACAGGCAAATTAGAATCATATCAGAAAGTGTATTGTGGAACAAGTATAAGATGGGATGGAACAATGGTCAGATATTCTTTCAATAGGTATGGACCATGAGAACATGGGACAAAATTAGATAAAGCAATTCAATTTAATGTCTGTATATATTTAGATATAGTCAGCGGAAGATAGAGGTTTCCAGAGTGAGTGTAATCAGGGAGTGTCAGACAATAGGAAAATAAACCAACGAAACGGGCCGTCTAGACATAAGTTCAAGGTTGATAATCAAAACAATATGAATGACTGTGAAATAATAAAGAGATGGTGTAAAAATAAATACATTTTTATAATGAAGTGAAATGAACAGGATTTCCTAACCACGATAGCAAGTTAGAAAAGCACCACTTAGCACTTAAGTGATAATACCATAAGAAAGGTCATCAAAATCAAAAAAGTCGAAAATGAATGTTTGCCAATGAAACAGAGGAACAGAATAAGAAGTAGAAAAGAAAATTGTGAAAAGAATTCTTAGTGTTAATGGAGGATTTGTTGGCTCTATTTTAGGTCAAGGTGGGTAAACAAAGAGGTTGAACATACTTCTGTATGCAAAGAGATGGTTTTCTGGTATTAATTGCAACCACTTCAGCTACTGATAGAAGACGTAGTCGAGCTCCTCTAGATAAATTACTACGAACGCAGTAAATAACTGAGAACGCTTGGTCACGTTTTATCGGGTGTCCAGTAGCTACCGAGTGGGCTAAGACTGCACTATTTACGCATTTGGTTACTCTTTTACTCAACCATACAGGTACATGTTGACGCACGCGCATGGATAAAGCCCTCTGAGTACGGCCAATGTAACTAGCTTCATATGACCATTTGAATTCACAGATACACACTGATTAGGCCATCTTTGGTAATTTATCCTTGACTTGCTGTGTGAGTATTGGTTTAGTTGAGAAGTTTAGTACCAGTTTAGCTGCAGGAAATGTTCTATCTACTGCTCTATTGAGTCGACATTTTAGAACGTCAGCTGCAATTCCCCCTTTGTAACTTAACTTAAGATACAAAGGTTTCTTGTCTACGGTATCCACCTTTACCCTGTCTGTAGGTATTGACATATACTTTTTTAGGAAGCTCTGTGAATATCCATTTTCTTGCAGTGTGAGTTTCAGTTTATGCATTGCTTCCTTAATGCATTCCTCTGAGCATATTCGTTTTATTCTGTAGCTAAGACACTTAACTAAGTTTCTTTTATGATGAATCGGTGTGAAACTATGGAAATGGGTGTACTGACCCATCCAAGTTTTCTTTCTAAATAATTCCCTTTGTAGATATCCGTCTGTCTTCATGGTAAGTAGGACGTCTAGGAAAGGTAAACTGTTATTGTCTTCTTCTTCGCATGTAAACTGAATAGTTGGGTGAACACTATTAACGGCATTCAGAAGCTCTTGTTTATTAAGATTTCTATCACAAACGATAAAGGTATCATCTACGTATCGACGATAATAGTCAAGCCCTTTAATCGTGTCTTTGAGTGGACCATTTTCAAGCTTTGCCAGGAAAACATCCGCCAGCAAAGGGCCCAGAGGTGATCCCATGGCTACCCCATCAACTTATCTATAAAAACCATTATTGAACATAAACTGTACATTCATATAGTACATTTCAATAATAATTCTTTGACTTTTTCGGGTGGGATTCCTACATCTATTTTTCTTTCTATCAGCTGGTCACATATGTAGTTGACTGTTTCAAGCAGTGGGATGTTGGTGAATAATGATGCTACATAATAATAATAATAATAATTGCTTTATTCCAAAAACAGTACTCATGATACAGCAAGGAATTTTCAGCATTCAGTACAATATTGCATCTAATTTACTCAAAAACGACAAAAAAAATTAAAAATACACAATACATAATAGTAATAAAACGATTGTTATAGCAGCTACGTAGCAAAATACTGTGCCATACGGAGAAAAATATGTATAAAGTACAAAATTGTAGTAATAATAGTAATACCAACTAAAATAAAATAGCAGAGTAACGATTTAAACGATAGAAAGTGTGACACCATAAAATACAGAAAGATGAACGATAAAAGGGTCGATTCACTGTGCTAATTACATAGTAACTTGTAAGTTTCACGTCTAACAGAGTCTTCGTCACATAAAGTACGCGCTAAATAGGGTATTGTAGAATTTCTATACTTAGTAGTACGAGCATATATCTTTTTATATTGACTTCTCGTCCTACCTGATGAGATACAAGGGGACAGGTGTGAATAAAGGGGGTGCAGAGGGTCTGACATTATAGCCTTTGCCCATTTCGTACAGGAATTTATATGCCTCTCGACTATAGTATTAGCGAGCTCATGCAGTGGCAGACCACAAGCTCTACTCACAGCATTTAATACTCTTCGTAATATGATATAATCTTTTTTGAGAAGCCCAGGAAAGATTAATGGAGAGCAGTAGAGTACAATAGGTAAAATACAGGAGTTTAAAAATTGCAAAACTAAAGGTTGGTTGATACCTGATTGTCTTAACTTTTTAATGTAGAAGGTAAGACGAAACATTTTCTTAGAGATAGATAAGATATGGGATGACCATGAAAGGTCAGAGGAAAAAACTAATCCAAGGTATTTAATGCTTGATTTGGTTTCAATTTCCGTGCCATCTATGCTACAGGGATCATGCGAGTTAACTAGTTCAAGTAAGTCACGTCGATGCTTGAAAGTAAAGTCAAGCGCCTGACATTTGGAAGGATTTAATATAAGACCATTTGACTTGGACCAGTTGTTGATGTCCAACAGAAAGCTATTAAGTTTGGAGCTGTCAGACTCGGAAGTGATAGGCAGTGATACAGTCAGATCATCTGCATATTTGACAAAGTTAGTTTCGTTTGAATGAGGTAGGTCATGTAGGAAGAAAGAAAAAAGAAAAGGAGAGAGGACAGCACCTTGTGGAACACCGGATTTTGTAAGCGAGGTAGAAGAAGATTTGCCGTTATATACAGTATACTGCATTCTATCAGAAAAATAGGAATGCAACCAACTCTTAGCCCAGGATCCTGTTTGTGTCAACGATAGCTTATTTAACAAAAGGCCCCTAGGTACAGAGTCAAAAGCAGATGTGTAGTCTAAGAAAGCACTACGAACATATTTAGCACCTTTGTCTAAACAAGAGACAACATTGTGATATAAGACAACCGCAGCATCCAAGGTACTTCTACCATGTTTGTATGCAAATTGTTTAGGATCATTAAAAGGTTTCAAAGCGGGTTCAAGACGAAGTAAAAGTAATTTTTCCATCAATTTTAAAAAGGGGGAAGTAATTGCAATAGGCCGAAATTTAATATCAGAACCAGAAGATGGTTTTGGTATAGGGATAATTTTAATGTTTTTCCATGCAAAAGGTAGAACGTTACCGGAAAAAGAAGCATTAAAAATGTTAGTAAGAGGATAACACAAAATATCAGCACAATTCCTGAGGACAATGGCAGGTATGCCGTCAGGACCAAGGCTTTGAGAAGGCTTAAGAGACCGGAGACATTTAAGCACATCAAGGGTATTAAAACCACTAAAGTTATTGTCAATATGATTTGTATCATTTGGAAGGGTATCAACAGAAGAGCGTATGAAAGATTTATTAAGAGTGTCAACATTAAGAGATGGAACAGAAATACATCGCTTACCGTTAGTAATTTCTTTGAAAAGTTTCCATAAATTAGAAGGGGTTTTACATGACAAAAATCTTTGATTATATAAAACACTTAGTCTTTTCATTTCCAGTTTTATCAGCATGTTTAACTTTTTTACACCAGGCTTATCATTAGTTTTGAACAACAGTTCTTTATTTCTACGTAGCTTTTTGAGATATGGCGAAGATAAGCGATCAAATCGAATGAATAATGTTTCTTTAGGACAACATATTTCGAAACAGAATTTAAGATAATCGGTAGTGTTTGTGATTGTTTCATCTAATGTTTGTTCTGTAAATAAGTCCCAGTTAGTGTCTTTCAACATGCATCTGAGCTTGTCTAGGTTGTCTTTTGAGTAGCATCTCCGTTGAACTTTACTGTAGAGGTGAGAAAGGACACCTTTGTGTGATTTGGAATATATTTTAGGCAGTACACGTATGATGCAGTGGTCAGAATTAAGTAGAGGAGCACGTTTGCGAGCTTCATATATGCCAACATCATTGATGAATACTAGATCCAGTTTTTTACCAAGACGGGTGGCAAAGTTAACAATATTGTCATGACCAAGTGATATAAGGAAGGAGCAATCGCTTCCATTGAAGTCGCCAGTTACTATTGATAAAGAGTTCTCGAAACAAGCTGCAGCAAAAGCGGTGAATTCATCGGCGAACATAGATAAATCCAATATGGTACAGCCAGGAGAGACATAAACATTAGAAATATAAATGAATTTGTATTTTGACAGGTGTTTCGGGCGACATCTCACAGTGATGCAATCACATCCAGTGACATCATTTTCTTTCCCTTTACATTCAGGCTTTCGGTAGTTTCCACAAAGCTGAATACGTCTTTTACACTGAATTTCACTAATTCGCGATGTAGCGGTTCTAGTGCCTTTACCAACCACTTTGCTGTAGGATGATAAGGGGATTGGCACATATCTAAGATGGGACGTAGTGGTACTCCCGGCTTATGGACTTTCGGTAAGCCATAAAGTCTTGGTGCGTGCGTACCTGAGGGTTTCAATTCGTCGAGTGTATCCTTAGGAATCAGGTTACTCTCAACTAGTGGTTTTAGTGTCTTAGCCATTTGGCGTTCGGTTGCCTCTGTTGTCTTTACAACTGCTCAGCTTTTGAAATTTCGTATGGTCGCTTAGAATGATATTCATTTTGTCTAACTAATCACTCTTATTCATGATAACTGTACCAGATCCCTTATCTGGTCTAGTTATTATCAGATTTTCGTTCTTTTTGAGGTCACCTAATGCCTCTCGGTGTTTCTTTGTAAGTAGGCTGTTGGCGGGATGTTTGCTGTTCTTAAACTGGTAGCAGGAATCGATTAGGGTACTTTTAAATCTTTCTAGCTCATACTTGGAGGAAGGAGTTAGGTCGCTTGTCTGGGCAAATAGGTTTTGAAATTGAACATCAGTCTCTGAATGATTAACCTGATTACGTCTGTCACAGAATTGTAAACCGAGAGATAAGGCTTCAAGTTGTGTCTTATCTAAGCATACAGAGGAAAAACTGAAAACGTACCGGTTATAGTCAATCGGAAAATTAGTTTCAGTCGTTTCTGTATCTAGTCCTTTGGTTAATAATATCAATTTCTAGCTTTCTCGAGTTTTAGAACTTCATTAACGTAGTTAATAAATAAGTCTTTCAGGTTCTGAGGAAGTTCATCGACGGCGTAAAGTCTTTGCGAAATATTTCTCTCTAGTTCAGATATATCAACTTGGAGTGATTCGATTTGATTAACGGCGAATCGCTTAATGACTTTTGATTCGGTCGTGTTTTGCTTAGACGAAGGGATTTTGAATATAATTTAGGATACCGGTTGTTCACAATACAATTTCGAATAAATTCCACATGCGTTTTCCCTTCTGTGAGCCTAGCACTATACTTCAGGTACTCATTGAGTGCCTTTAGAGCTACGGAATGCTCACTAGATTTCAGAAAATTGAATATTCCCATAATCTATTCACAGCAAAATATTTATGTATATATATTTTACTGTGAATAGATTATGGGAATATTCAATTATCTGAAATCTAGTGAGCATTCCGTAGCTCTAAAGGCACTCAATGAGTACCTGAAGTATAGTGCTAGGCTCACAGAAGGGAAAACGCATGTGGAATTTATTCGAAATTGTATTGTGAACAACCGGTATCCTAAATTATATTCAAAATCCCTTCGTCTAAGCAAAACACGACCGAATCAAAAGTCATTAAGCGATTCGCCGTTAATCAAATCGAATCACTCCAAGTTGATATATCTGAACTAGAGAGAAATATTTCGCAAAGACTTTACGCCGTCGATGAACTTCCTCAGAACCTGAAAGACTTATTTATTAACTACGTTAATGAAGTTCTAAAACTCGAGAAAGCTAGAAATTGATATTATTAACCAAAGGACTAGATACAGAAACGACTGAAACTAATTTTCCGATTGACTATAACCGGTACGTTTTCAGTTTTTCCTCTGTATGCTTAGATAAGACACAACTTGAAGCCTTATCTCTCGGTTTACAATTCTGTGACAGACGTAATCAGGTTAATCATTCAGAGACTGATGTTCAATTTCAAAACCTATTTGCCCAGACAAGCGACCTAACTCCTTCCTCCAAGTATGAGCTAGAAAGATTTAAAAGTACCCTAATCGATTCCTGCTACCAGTTTAAGAACAGCAAACATCCCGCCAACAGCCTACTTACAAAGAAACACCGAGAGGCATTAGGTGACCTCAAAAAGAACGAAAATCTGATAATAACTAGACCAGATAAGGGATCTGGTACAGTTATCATGAATAAGAGTGATTAGTTAGACAAAATGAATATCATTCTAAGCGACCATACGAAATTTCAAAAGCTGAGCAGTTGTAAAGACAACAGAGGCAACCGAACGCCAAATGGCTAAGACACTAAAACCACTAGTTGAGAGTAACCTGATTCCTAAGGATACACTCGACGAATTGAAACCCTCAGGTACGCACGCACCAAGACTTTATGGCTTACCGAAAGTCCATAAGCCGGGAGTACCACTACGTCCCATCTTAGATATGTGCCAATCCCCTTATCATCCTACAGCAAAGTGGTTGGTAAAGGCACTAGAACCGCTACATCGCGAATTAGTGAAATTCAGTGTAAAAGACGTATTCAGCTTTGTGGAAACTACCGAAAGCCTGAATGTAAAGGGAAAGAAAATGATGTCACTGGATGTGATTGCATCACTGTGAGATGTCGCCCGAAACACCTGTCAAAATACAAATTCATTTATATTTCTAATGTTTGTGTCTCTCCTGGCTGTACCATATTGGATTTATCTGTGTTCGCCGATGAATTCACTGCTTTTGCTGCAGCTTGTTTCGAGAACTCTTTATCAATAGTAACTGGCGACTTCAATGGAAGCGATTGCTCCTTCCTTATATCACTTGGTCATGACAATATTGTTAACTTTGCCACCCGTCTTGGTAAAAAACTGGATCTAGTATTCATTAATGATGCTGGCATATATGAAACTCGCAAACGTGCTCCTCTACTTAATTCTGACCACTGCATCATATGTGTACTGCCTAAAATATATTCCAAATCACACAAAGGTGTCCTTTCTCACCTCTACAGTAAAGTTCAACGGAGATGCTACTCAAAAGACAACCTAGACAAGCTCAGATGCATGTTGAAAGACACTAACTGGGACTTATTTACAGAACAAACATTAGATGAAACAATCACAAACACTACCGATTATCTTAAATTCTGTTTCGAAATATGTTGTCCTAAAGAAACATTATTCATTCGATTTGATCGCTTATCTTCCCCATATCTCAAAAAGCTACATAGAAATAAAGAATTGTTGTTCAAAACTAATGATAAGCCTGGTGTAAAAAAGTTAAATATGCTGATAAAACTGGAAATGAAAAGACTAAGTGTTTTATATAATCAAAGATTTTTGTCATGTAAAACCCCTTCTAATTTATGGAAACTTTTCAAAGAAATTACTAACGGTAAGCGATGTATTTCTGTTCCATCTCTTAATGTTGACACTCTTAATAAATCTTTCATACGCTCTTCTGTTGATACCCTTCCAAATGATACAAATCATATTGACAATAACTTTAGTGGTTTTAATACCCTTGATGTGCTTAAATGTCTCCGGTCTCTTAAGCCTTCTCAAAGCCTTGGTCCTGACGGCATACCTGCCATTGTCCTCAGGAATTGTGCTGATATTTTGTGTTATCCTCTTACTAACATTTTTAATGCTTCTTTTTCCGGTAACGTTCTACCTTTTGCATGGAAAAACATTAAAATTATCCCTATACCAAAACCATCTTCTGGTTCTGATATTAAATTTCGGCCTATTGCAATTACTTCCCCCTTTTTAAAATTGATGGAAAAATTACTTTTACTTCGTCTTGAACCCGCTTTGAAACCTTTTAATGATCCTAAACAATTTGCATACAAACATGGTAGAAGTACCTTGGATGCTGCGGTTGTCTTATATCACAATGTTGTCTCTTGTTTAGACAAAGGTGCTAAATATGTTCGTAGTGCTTTCTTAGACTACACATCTGCTTTTGACTCTGTACCTAGGGGCCTTTTGTTAAATAAGCTATCGTTGACACAAACAGGATCCTGGGCAAAGAGTTGGTTGCATTCCTATTTTTCTGATAGAATGCAGTATACTGTATATAACGGCAAATCTTCTTCTACCTCGCTTACAAAATCCGGTGTTCCACAAGGTGCTGTACTCTCTCCTTTTCTTTTTTCTTTCTTCCTACATGACCTACCTCATTCAAACGAAACTAACTTTGTCAAATATGCAGATGATCTGACTGTATCACTGCCTATCACTTCCGAGTCTGACAGCTCCAAACTTAATAGCTTTCTGTTGGACATCAACAACTGGTCCAAGTCAAATGGTCTCATATTAAATCCTTCCAAATGTCAGGCGCTTGACTTTACTTTCAAGCATCGACGTGACTTACTTGAACTAGTTAACTCGCATGATCCCTGTAGCATAGATGGCACGGAAATTGAAACCAAATCAAGCATTAAATACCTTGGATTAGTTTTTTCCTCTGACCTTTCATGGTCATCCCATATCTTATCTATCTCTAAGAAAATGTTTCGTCTTACCTTCTACATTAAAAAGTTAAGACAATCAGGTATCAACCAACCTTTAGTTTTGCAATTTTTAAACTCCTGTATTTTACCTATTGTACTCTACTGCTCTCCATTAATCTTTCCTGGGCTTCTCAAAAAAGATTATATCATATTACGAAGAGTATTAAATGCTGTGAGTAGAGCTTGTGGTCTGCCACTGCATGAGCTCGCTAATACTATAGTCGAGAGGCATATAAATTCCTGTACGAAATGGGCAAAGGCTATAATGTCAGACCCTCTGCACCCCCTTTATTCACACTTGTCCCCTTGTATCTCATCAGGTAGGACGAGAAGTCAATATAAAAAGATATATGCTCGTACTACTACGTATAGAAATTCTACAATACCCTATTTGGCGCGTACTTTATGTGACGAAGACTCTGTTAGACGTGAAACTTACAAGTTACTATGTAATTAGCACAGTGAATCTACCCTTTTATC